CCCCCTCTCCATTTAAATAAAGGAAGCCTTGCAAAATGTGGAAGGCCCTGTGAGCGGGGCAGGTGGGAGGGACCTGGGGGCTGACACCGTTTATGTGCAAGGCAGCCGCTCTGGGCAAATGTCTTCGGTGGCGCCAGGAAACCGGTTGTGCAAACACAAAGCGGCCTGTGTGTTTCCAATCAAACCTTCCTTTGTTGTGTTTCCCCTCTTTCGGACTGCGCCAACTCGGGCCCTCCTTGCACTTTGCCAGCTAGAAAAAAAGGCCTTCGGCGGGGCTCCGCCCCCTCCCCAAATAAATATTATCAGGGGGGGTGTGTTTCGAACCCGGGTCTGTTTTTCCAAAAGGAAAAAAAAACAGCTAATTTGGGCTGTGTTCGCCAAACACGTGGAAACGGGTCCGGTTGAAGGGTGTGTGGTTGTCTTTAAAGCCTAGAGATGCTAACTTATATAGATCGGGATTTGTGCTTTTCTTCTTGTGGTTTACCCTGGGGTGCAAACCCAGTTTGTCTGTTTAATTTAGGATTCGGCAAATTTTGCAAACCGTGGAAACGGATGAATTCAGAGCCAGTTTTGGTCTGGTGGTTAAAGTATTAGGCCCCAAACTAGGAGACGGTGAGTTCTAGTCCCGCCTTAGGTATGAAAGCCAGCTAGGTGATTTTGGACTAATTACCAGGAGACTCTGAATTCCAGTTCCGCTTTAGGCACAAAAGCCAGCTGGGTGACTTAGGAGCCATCACCAGGAGACAGAGAATTCTAATCCCGCCTTAGGCATGAAAGCCAGCTGGGTGACTTTGGGCCAATCACCAGGAGAAGGAGAGTTCTAGTCCCGCCTTAGGCATGAAAGCCACCTGGGTGACTTCGGACCAATCCCCAGGAGACGGAGAGTTCTAGTCCCGCCTTAGGCATGAAAGCCGGCTGGGTGACTTCGGACCAATCACCAGGAGACGGGGAGTTCTAGTCCCGCCTTAGACATGAAAGCCGGCTGGGTGACTTCGGGCCAATCCTGAGGAGACGGAGAGTTCTAGTCCCGCCTTAGGCATGAAAGCCGTCTCGGTATCCTTGGGCCAGTGATCCTCTCTTAGCCCAACCCGCCCCACAGGGAAAACGAGAGGAGGAAAGTGTAATAGACATATTCGCCACCTTGAGTAATTTATAAAAACAACAATAATAATAGTAGTAAAGTTGGAAGGGACCTTGGAGGTCAGCTAGTCCAACCCCCTGCTCAGGCAGGAAACCCTACACCATTTTGGACAAATGGCTGTCCAGTCTCTTCTTAAAAACTTCCAGTGTTGGAGCATTTACTGCTTCTGGAGGCAGGCTGTTCTGCTGGTTAATTGTTCTCACTGTCAGCAAGTTTCTCCCATAAATGGTGGGATATCAATAATTAAATAAATCCCCTGGATTCCTGTGATTCGCTTAACAGAATAGCCGGCTGAACAGTTTTAACCGTTGGAAGGGACCTTGGAGGTCTTCTAGTCCAACCCTCCGCTCGAGCTCCGGAGACCCTATGAATGCCATTTCAGACAAAATGGCCGCCCAGGCTCTTCTTAAAAACCTTCAACATCGTAGTTCTGTCATGGAGTAGTTCACGTAAACAGCTCCAGTTCCTGTTTCGTAAAGCTTTGTGTTTTTGAAGGAAGCCAGAGAGGAAGTGTCCTCTTTGCCTCGGGGGGGGGGGGGGGAGGAATTGAAAAAAAATAAAAATAAATTCTTGACCAAAATAGGAAGCCCTGTTTCTTGCCTTCCTTGTAGTGTCAGTCCCAGATTAAAGAAGCAGCTGAAATAAATCTATGGAGGAGGCAGCAAATGCAGCTCCCTTCAGAAACCGGGACACTCTGAAAGGGTGGTTTGCATGTCTTCCCCACCTACATCCAATGAGGGCATTCACACAACATTGGAACCTGCATCCTGAGTTAACCTGCTTTCGGAATCCCCGGAATACACCGGCCCATAAAGTAACCAGCGCACGAATCGTGAAACGCCAAGTTAATCCTTGCCCAGCTTTTTGCCTTGTGCAAATGGAAGACTGTCCAACTGACCCAGCTTAAATGTGTTGTGTGAACACAGCCAGTGAGGTTTAACTTGTATAACAGGCCAGCCTTTCTTTTCTCTACTCTTTCCTCTTCCTTGTTTCTTGCATTTCCCATGTGACTTTCTGCTTATTCCTTACCTCCCTGATACGCGTAATCCCTAATGGAGCCCCCAAAGAGAGTCAGTAAACAGATCGTCACGTGACCAGGCCCAATTTTACAACCCTTTTGGCATGAGTCGTTAAATAAACTTATTGTTTGTTATGGGGCATTTTAGCCACAAACTGGAAGGAAAAACTTTATACTTTGGCAAAAACTTTCTAAATTGTGCTCACGGGACCAAGGGAGGCTGCCAACGGCTGTAAATATCACAAAAAGGATGTTGAGAGTTTGGGAAAAGTTCACAGAAGAGCCACTAAGATGATCCAAGGCCTGGAGACTAAAACATACAACGAACAGCTGCGGGATTTGGATATGGCCAGTCTAAAGAAAAGAAGAAATAGGGGTGACAGGATAGCAGCGTTCCAGTATCTGAGGGGCTGCCCCAAAGAAGAGGGGGGTCACGTTATTCTCCAAAGCACCAGAGGGAAGGACAAGAAACAATGGTTGGAAACTGATCAAGGAGAGAAGCAATCTGGAATTAAGGAGAAACTTCCTGACAGTGAGGGCAATTAACCAGTGGAACAGCTTGCCACCAGAAATCATGGTGGACACTCCATCACTGGAGATTTTTAAGAAGAAGCTAGACATTCACTTGTCTGAGATGGTATAGGCTCTCCTGCTTGAGCAGGGGGCTGGACTAGAAGACCTCCAAGGTCCCTTCCAGCTCTATTCTACTCTAAATTCTAAACGTGGGCTGGTTGCTTAGCCCCCAAAAGGAGATTACATGACTACGAATGGTGCTGTTGGAACCCGGAAACCCCATCCAAAGTACCTTTTTGAAGTCCTTTGTAAGTTCAGACATGACCGGTTGTAAGTCAAGGACTATGTGTAATGGATGGCAGGTACTGTTTGGAGAGGTCAAAGGAGTCAATGCTAGGGCTGATATAATAGCCGTAGTCCAATATTTGGGGGGCTGCCACAGAGAAGAGGGAGTCAAGCTATTCTCCAAAGCGCCTGAGGGCAGGACAAGAAGCAACGGATGGAAACGAATCAAGGAGAAAAGCAACCTGGAACTAAGGAGAAAATTTCCAAACAGTGAGGACAATTAACCAGTGGAACAGCTTGCCACCAGAAATCGTGGGCGCTCCATCCCTGGAAGTTTTTAAGAAGAGACTGGACAGCCATTTGTCTGAAATGGTATAAGGCAGGGGTGGGCAACTATGACCCTGTTAAGACCTGCAGACTTCAACTCCCAGAATTCTGGGAGTTGGACTCCATGGGTTGTAAAGGCATGGCTGACTCAGGAATTCTGGGAGTTGGAGTCCATGGGTCGTAAAAGGGCCATAGTTGCCAACATCTGGTGTAAGATCTCCGGCTTGAGCAGTGGATTGGATTAGAACACGGGTCCCCAACCTCTGGGCTGCAGGACAGGCTGGCCAGTGTGCACGCCCCCTCACTTGCGCTAGCGCCATAGCCGCAGGGTTCAAAAACGATACTCCACCACGGAGCACAAAAATGCGCCACTGCTGTGCCTCGGGGTGCCAAAATGGGCTGCCACCGCGCTGCAAGGCGCAAAAATGGCTGCCGCCACGCCACAGGGCACAGAAACAAGGTGCTCCGCCACGCAAGAAAAGTATCAGGCAGGCACTAGCCTTGCCCCATTTGCGGCGCGCATGTGCTTGCGGACCTGTGCGCACAGGCGCACGCACACATGTAAATGCTTCCTCCTCTCTTTTCCTCCGGTCGGCCCACCGACAAAGGTTGGTGACCTCTGGACTAGAAGACCTCTAAGGTCCCTTCAAATCCTATTGTTCTACGTCAGTGGTTCTCAACCTTTTTAATGCCACAACCCCCAACCCGTCGTAAGTCGAGGACTACTCAACCGGTCGTAAGTCGAGGACTACTCAACTGGTGCAGCACCGTTTGCAGAATGGGACTTTTGGCAGGCTCAGCAGGGCAGGGACAGCCTGGACAATTCCTATTGGCTTTTGAAAGCCAATAGAATTAGACTCTATTCAAGAGAGTCTATTCTATTGGCTTTCAAAAGCCAATAGAATAAAAGGGAGTAGCACAGCTAAGGAAAAGGGGAAAAAAATGGCAGACTGCGTTGTTTGGCGACCCCGTGAAATGGTCGTTCGACCCCAAATGGGGTCCCGACCCACAGGTTGAGAACCACTGGTCTACGTCTACAGAAGTCTTGTTTGGTTTGGAAGAGGCTCTGTGGAAGACAGAGGCTCGGAGCCAGCCCTGACATTGCCAAATCCCAAGGGATTAAATGTGGGTGGAAGAAGCCCTGCAACGCAATGGAGTTTCACTGGGGTGGGAGGGAAATTTTTTCCCAACTGCTGGGAAAAACCCATCACCCGGTTGGTGAGTCAGGAGTTACTCAGCTCCTGGCACTCCAGATTCCAGCCGGGTCTCAACTCAACTCACACCCTAAAACCGATTATAAGGGCAGGACTCCCCAATTCTCCCCTGGTGGGTGGCAAGCTCAAGTCTTGGCAACATCTGGACTTAGCTGGCTAGAATGCCGCCAATCCTGCGCCAGACGTTTTCTCAATTTCCCACGCTTGGGGTTTCCTTGTGGTCTCCACTCCAAATGCTCTCTACACAGGGAGTCCTCGACTGAATGCATTTCGTGACTGTTTGTAGCAACAAAAGCGACCTACGACCGGTTTTTCACACACTTACGACCACTGCAGCATCCTCACAGTCACAGGGTCCAAATTCCGACACTGGACAATGGGCTCGTATAATGACGGTCGCAGTGTCCCCCCCCCACGATCCCCTTTTGCGACTTTCCGACGAGCAAAGTCAACGGGGGGAGGGGGGGAAAGCCCGATTCCTTTTTACAACCCTGTTACTAACCGAAGCACTGCAGGGATTCGGTTAACCACCCTGGCAGGAAAAGGTGGGCCGACTCACTTCACGAGTGTCTCGCTTAGCGACGGAAAGTGTGGGCTCCATCGTGGTCGTAAGATGAGGACTCCCTGTGTAAAGCAGAAAAGAGAACCCAGGGCTTGGCCAGAGGCTAGATGGGGCTGTTCCGTCCAGCAAGCCACCCCCCCTTTCTTCCCCCCTCCCCCCCCACTGCCCTGCGCAGCGGCGCAAACCTCCCTCTGCAGAAGCGCTGCGCAACTCCCCCCTCTGCAAAGGCGCCGGCGGACTGCACGTCCGAAACGTCTCGGGTATTAATAGCAGCGGATGAATGGCTCAGGGCGGGATGGGGGGGGGATGCGGAAGAGGGTCAGAGCCTCCCCCGGGTTGCTCTTCCTTCCTCCTTTGGCTGCAACGCGCGCAAGTCCGAGGGTATCGACGGGAGGGGCGGATTTCTTCACCCCCCCCCTTTGAAACTGGGGCGCAGGAGGGAAGGTGCCTCCGGACGAGGCCGGCCCTGCGTTTTGCACGGGAGGTCCCTTCTGCCTCGTGTCCCCGCGTGTCTCGAGCAGACCCCCCCTCTACACACACACACACTTTTGCACGCGCCCCTTCTGCGCCATGACCCCACGTGTTTCGAGCAGACCTCCTCTATACACACACACACACACACTTTTGCACGCGAGGCACCTTCTGCGTCGTGTCCCCAGGAGGCCCCCCTCTACACACACACACACACACACATTTTTGTACGCGCTCCTTCTGCGCCGTGACCCCACGTGTTTCGAGCAGACCCCCTCTATACACACACACACACTTTTGCACGTGAGGCCCCTTCTGTGTCGTGTCCCCTCGTGTTTCGAGACCCCTCTCTAAACACACACTTTTACACGCGCCCCTTCTGCGTCGTGACCCCACGTGTTTCGAGCAGACCCCCTCTATACACACACACACTTTTGCACGCGAGGCCCCTTCTGCGTCGTGTGCCCGCGTTTCCAGACCCCCCTCTACACACACACTTTTGCACGCGCCCCTTGTGCGTCGTGTCCCCACGTGTTTCGAGACCCCCCTCTACATACACACACTTTTGCACGCGCCTCTTCTGCGCCGTGTCCCCGCGTTTCGAGCAGACCTCCCTCTACACACACACACACACACACACACATGCGAGGCCCCTTCTGCGTCGCGTCCCCGCGTTTCGTGCAGACCCCCCCCCACACACACATACATACACACAGCTCCTAGGATCAGGCCTGGGGTGTGGGGGGGGGTCTTCTCGTCCCCGGGGGTGACCCCCAGACTCTCTGGGCACCCCGCGAGCAAAGCGGTGGGGCGCGGACGGCGCTCCGGGTGCTCGGTGCTGCGAAACGGGAAGGTTGCCGTCGATGCCGCGGACTAGAAGCCGCTTCTAGGCGGATCTGGTGGGGCCGTGGATGATGGGGTTTCCGGAGAGCAGTGGGCGGAGGCGGTGGCAGATCCCGAGGGCGGCCGGGCCAAGGGATCCGACCGATCCGATCGGCTGGCGAACAGCCCCCCTCCCGTCCTCTCCCCCTTTCCCGGGCAACCCCTTCCATTTGCGAGTCCTCAAGAGGCGCAGCCTTGCGCGCGATCCACACCTCCGCCTGGGATGCGTCCGACGGGCTGAACTCTGCGAGGCTGCCTCGGGTGTTGAAGGCAGCCCAGCCCCCAATGGGGTCTGCACGGGGGGCGCCCCACGCCGTCCTCCCCCCCTCGAGCTGGCTGGAAAGACGGGGGGGGGCGCCGGGGCTTAAAACCCGCCGCGGGGCGCTGGGAGCGGGGCGGGAGGCGCTTCGCCTCGGCTTGCGGGAGCCGCGATGCGGGCGGAGTCCGGCTCTGGCGGCCCCCCCCCCCCGGCTGGACGACGGGAGGAGCAGCAGCAGCAGCGCCCCATCCTCGGAGATGCAGCGCCGGAGGAAGCTCGGCCCGATCCGGCCAGGGGAAGCGAGTGGGGTGGGGGGGGTGCCTGCCTGGAATTTGGGGAGGGGGGGAGCGGACGGACCAAGGAATCCCCCCCCCGTTTTTTTCTTCTTCCCCCGTATGGGTTTTTTTTTTTTTTTGGCCCGATCCAGCGCAGCGTCAGGATGTCCCGGGTCTCTTTTGCGCCGCGAAGGTTCCCGGCAGGATTTTTTTCCCCCCCCCTCCGGTAAGTCTGCCTGCAGATGCTTCCGTGGCTTTCTCTCGCCCCCCCCCCCGGGCGCTCCTTGGTGTCCCCGACTTGCTCCCGGGGTCCCCCTCCCCCTTTTGAAGCCAGGCCGACCTGCGCCTAGTGGTTAGCGAGCCCGGTTTGCCAGGCGTCGCCTCGCCCTTGCCTCTATTCTGCAGGACGAGCCACGGAGGTATGTGGTTTCTCCCCCCCCCCAGGATTCCTCTGCGCCCTTTTTCCCACCCCCGGGTCACTTTAAGAGGTGTCGGGGTGAAAAAGATCTGCCTTGGTCTAAAATTGCCGTCTTCCCCCCCCCTTCTCCCCTCTAATTCTTTTTCTCCCCCTCCTCTTCTCCCTCTCTTTCTCTTTTCTCTCTCTCCCCCTCTTTTTCTCCGTTTGTCTCTATTTCTCCCTCTGTTTCTCTTTCTCCCTCCCTCTCTCCCCTCTCTTTTTCTCTCTCCTTCTTTTTCTCCGCTTGTCTCTATTTCTTTCTTCCTCTTTCTCTCTCCCCTTTTTCTCTTCTCCGTTTGTCTCTATTTCTTTCTCCCTTTCTCTCTCCCCCTCTTTCTCTTTCTCTCCCCTTTTCTGTTTGTCTCTATTTCTTTCTCTCTCCCCTCTCTTTCTCTTCTCGGTTTGTATCTATTTCTTTCTCCCGCTTTCTCTCTCCCCTCTCTTTCTCTTTTCTCTTCTCTCTCTCTCCCTTTTTTCCTCCCTCTTTCTCTCTCTTACTCCATGTCTCTTTTCTCTCATTCTCCCTTTGTTTCTGTCTCTTTATTTCTCTTTGTCTCTGTCTTCCTCTTTCTCCTCTCTCTAATTCTCTTTCTCCTTCCCTCTCTTCCCCCTTTCTCTTCTCTCTCTCTCTCTCTCTCTCTCTCTCACCCACCCCATTTCAATCTTGCACCCATCTGTCTTCCTTCATTTCCCCTCTTCCCCATCTATTCCTTTGGACTTGAATGAATAAAATGCTCATTCCCGCCAATTTTTCTTTTTATTGCATTGGCCTCCTTTAAAAAACAAAACAAAACAAAAAAATGGGGCACTGGCTGCATGTCACAGAAAAAGGGGGAGTGTGTGCATGCGTGCGTGCGGGTGCGTGCATGTATGTGTGGGAGAGTCAGGCTGTTAAAATGTCAGCTGAATTGGTGGGGAAGGCAGCCCTGAATGTGGCCCAGCGGAATAGCCCATCTCTCTTTACAAAAATAAAAATCTGCATTTCCACCTTCTCCCTCCATCCCTGAAAAGAGGCGCCTCTAAAAATGTAATTTTCACCTAGCTGCAGGTCCCCAGATCCCAGGAAATCTAGCCCAATGTTTTTGTTCAAGCTGGGAAATTTGCAAATGATTGCCGCCTTGAGGAGCTGTGCTTTGTTAGCTGGAAAGCCGGTGAACAGTCTTTATTTTTTTTTTTTTACACCCAACATGGAGATACTGAAACTGCCCTTTAGAGGACAGGCTTTAACCTTCCCATGATCTCGCATGAAGTTGAGCTTCCCTTAAGCCCTGATTAATAATAGAAACCCATCCTGGTTTCAATAGCCCGCAGAGGAAATGGCATCCAGTGCCGTACAGTTTATGACATGCACACAGCCAGCATTTTGGAAATGTGGAAAAAGTATGTGGAGAGTTTTCTGTACCTGTTGAACTTCCAGCTGGCCTGGAGGCATTTAGGCCCATTCATTAACATTTTGTGTGTGGGGGGGGGGTATTTTTTGCACAACTGGCAGTTTTTTTAGACCATCCCACGAAGTTGCAATTAGCTATGTTTAGACTTGGCCGTTGTTAAATGTGAAATATTTTCTGTGTCAGCCCTTCTGCTGGGCTGGGATTAATACTGCTGAGTTTTGCACCGTCTGGCGTGACCCACATACTGTATGCTTTATTTTCAGCCCCCTGCTCTGCAGAATTTGGGGGTTCAATCCTGCGAGAGGTTAGGCTGTCTTAGGGCTAGGCTAGCCCCAAACTAAGAAGCAGACGGTAGCACCTTTTAAGACTTAACCATTTTTATTATTATAAAGCCTTTATTTGCTGAGTGTTTTCTTTACAGTGGACTCACAAATTGCTGAAACGTAGGAACGTAAGATAGCGCAGAAATGTTGGTTGGGCTCCAGAGTTCCTTTTGGAGAATTCCTGGAGAATTACACGCCTTATTTTGGGGTGACTGGGCTTAAGTGACTCTTGGGAAGAGAACCATGGTGTGTTTGATGATGGACAGATGGAAGCTGAAGCTTTTAGCAGTGGCTTTGTAGCCTGTTCAGACTTGTGAGCCTCTGACACCGGTGTTTTCTGAGATCGCTTTCACAAGTTGGGCTGGAAGAGACTCTCTTCAGATTGTTGTCTCAACAGAATAACAGAGCAGGAAGCGGCCTTGGAGGTCATCTAGTCCAACCCCCTGCTGGAGCAGAAAACCCTGTCCCATTTCAGACAAATGGTTGCCCAGTCTCTTCTTCTTAAAAACCTTAGGGATAAACTTAAGGATAGGAAAACGTGACTCCCCTTTATTTTCCCTTTAAATCAAGAATCTCCGAGCACTTTTTCTGAAAAACGTGCGTAAAAGTTTAGTAAAAAAACATGACGTTTTCTTGAATTGTGGATCGTGCATCCGACGGATAAACTTCGTCCTCCGTTATTGTTGGGTTTTTTTTGCCACTATAAACTAACCCAGCTCTCTTCTTTTATTTTTTATTTGTCTTTAATTTGCATTTCCTGTTTATTTCCTCTTTCTCACCAAACTGCCTGGCTGGTGGATGTTTGTTTAAGGAAATGTCTACCTATTTGTAGCGGTCAGATAAAGCCACCGATTATATTTTGGGTCCCAGCTCTGAAAGAGACACGGACATTTGTGAAAATTCGCCCACTTTATCTCTCCGCTTTTGGCCTGTTGTACAAAAAGCAGAGCAGGTGGTCAGTTTACGGGTTGGCTTCCCTTTGTGGGGGAGGTGGGGAAAACAAGGCGATCTCTAGAATCAAAAGAAGGCTATTGTGTGAACGTAGCCATTTGACGGCTGAAGTGTGTGTGTGTGGACTGAATTTGCAAAAGCTACCCATAAGGCCTGCAAAAGAGATTCTGGGGATGGTTGCATTTTCCTAAAAGAGGCTTAAGAATATCTGTTTGCTGTAAGTCCCCCCCCCCTTAGGGGGAAAAAAACCCCTTATTCTTTCAAAATAGGGTTATTTTTAATTGCATTTTTTTTTTTAAAAAAAATCAATCTTTGCATTTCAAAGGAGAAGAGAGAGGAGGCCAGGGCTGAGCGCAGGAAAAACCGGTCACCCAAACTGAGAATTGCACCAAAACTTGATGCAGTTGGGTCTTCTAAAAATATAAAGGTCCACCTGAACAAAGATGGGAGAAACTTCCAGAAGGCCAGGAACCGGAATTAAAAGCCACGGAAGACAGCTAGCTAGTTCCTTAGCTCTTAGATGGCTAGGATCAGCGAAGAATTATCTTTTTTAAGTCGGAGAGATGAAGACAAGAGAATCAAGCCAGTCCTTCTGGCCCATTCCTGATGGGAGAGAAAGTGAATTTTGGGTGGGAATCTTAAAATAACCAAAGGGAGCTCTTTCCCACGGACGATTGGGAGGGGACGGAGAAAGAGGGAGGAAAGACAGGCAGAATCCTTGGGGAGGAAATGTTAAAAAGAGTTTTTCTGTGCATTTTCCAACTGTTTTGGGATCTTTCCGGGGTGGGGGGGAAAGAAAAGAGGGTGTTGCTGCAGGGTTGCACCCCTCCTGTTAAGGAACAGGCCACACAAGGCACGGCGGACTCTGGGGAACGAAGTGGGATGCAGAGAGCCGAGTGAGGGCATCACCTCCATGCTGCAGAGCAGGGACAAAAGAAGCCGAGATGCTGTAATGGAAAAATACATTCTGGACCTCCAGGGTAGAATCAGCAAGGCTGTTAAGAGAGGAGGCGGAGATCAGCAGCCTGGCGCACCCTCCGAGGTTTTGAATGGGATGGGGAATCCCGGCTTAAGAAACAGGGGCCGCTCCATATTGTTCCATATTCTGCAGTGGAGTTGGGAGAAGAATTTGGGAAAGGGGGGGGGGATCCAGTGCTGGGAAGCTACCTAATGCATCTGAGAAGGGAAGGGAGAGAAGGATCCTGGGTGAAGTAAAATCTCTTCCAGGGGTTTTTGGTTTGCCCCTCTGGGTTGGTTTTATTTTTTTTACCCCGCCTTCGTTATTTTTACAAATAACTCCGAGGTGGTGAAAATACCCAGCATATTTTGCTCGTCCTGTTTCCCCCACAACGACAACAATCCTGTGAGGTGGGTTGGGCTGAGAGAGAGAGAGGGAGGGACTGGCCCAAAGTCACCACTCCAGCTTTCGTGACTAAGGCGTGAGAAGGGGTTGGACTAGATGACCTTCACGGTCCCTTTCAACTCTGATATTCTGTTATTCTATTAAAGCGGGACTAGAACTCCCCGTCTGCTGGAGATTGGCCCAAAATCACCCAACCAGCTTTCATAGCTAAGGCAGGACTAGAACTCACCATCTCCTGGTGATTGGCCCAATGTCTCATCCAGCCAGCTTTCATAGCTAAGGCAGGACTAGAACTCACCGTCTCCTGGTGATTGGCCCAAAGTCACCCAACCAGCTTTCATAGCTAAGGCAGGACTAGAACTCACCATCTCCTGGTGATTGGCCCAATGTCTCATCCAGCCGGCTTTCATGGAATAGACAGGACTAGAACTCACCGTCTCCTGGTGATTGGCCCAAAGTCACCCAGCCGGCTTTCATGGCTAAGGCAGGACTAGAACTCACCATCTCCTGGTGATTGGCCCAATGTCTCATCCAGCCGGCTTTCATGGAATAGACAGGACTAGAACTCACCGTCTCCTGGTGATTGGCCCAAAGTCACCCAGCCGGCTTTCATGGCTAAGGCAGGACTAGAACTCACCATCTCCTGGTGATTAGCCCAAAGTCACCCAACCAGCTTTCATAGCTAAGGCAGGACTAGAACTCACCGTCTCCTGGTGATTGGCCCAAAGTCACCCAGCCGGCTTTCATGGCTAAGACAGGACTAGAACTCACTGTCTCCTGGTGATTGGCCCAAAGTCACCCAACCGGCTTTCATAGCTAAGGCAGGACTAGAACTCACTGTCTCCTGGTGATTGGCCCAAAGTCACCCAACCAGCTTTCATAGCTAAGGCAGGACTAGAACTCACCATCTCCTGGTGATTGGCCCAATGTCTCATCCAGCCGGCTTTCATGCCTCAGACGGGACTAGAACTTCCAGTCTCCTGTGGTGTCTCTGCCTCGGAGGATTGTAGTCGCCTAAAGCACAGCCTGTGAGCCTTAGAGGGAGCACCTTCAATACTCCATGGGTCCTGAAAGAGGAAAAAGGAGGAGAAATTATGCCAGCGTCAGGAGTTCAAGTCCAGACATCTTCAGGTTGAGGAAGGCTGGTTTAGGATC